CATTTGAATATCTGATTTTGTTTGATTTAATACATCAACTATTTTATCACCATCTATTGTATAATTAAAGGCTCCGAACGAATCAATGAAACTAGAACTGATTTAACTCAATTCGATTCGAACTAGTGATGGTGGTCGAAACTACACTTAGTGGGCCGAAATTGCCGAAATTAATTGGCCTAAAATAATTTTAATGGCTGAAATTGAGAGTTTTTTAAAGTAGAATGATTTAGGTACTTATTATATGTATTGGACGAAACTACTTTTTTCAAAAACAGTTTCGGCTACCACCACTAAATAATATCCTTTATCAATTAAAAAATACACAATCTTGGTTTAGCAGATAGTTTGGGTAATTAGAAAAAATTTCCCAAAATTATATTCAAGCAGACTATAATGATAATTAAATTCTTATCATAACGAATTTTTAAAATTTTTCTTATTATTATGTGTACCGTCTATCCATATCAAGAAATCAGTTGAGAAGAATTTTATTATTATTATTATTAAACTCAATCTGTTATTATCCATTAAATTGAAGTACACTACATTGAGATTCACTGTATTTAATATGACATTAAGAAAATTTAGGAATCCGGTTTGATTCGATTTGATTCGGAGCCCTATGTATAATTATAAATTGATCCATATTTTTTTAGTCTAAAAAGAATGACAACTCAACAGAAAGACTTATAAACAATTTTTGAAGATTTGGTAAGAAAACGGATTTCAAAATTGTCATCGTGCCATCACCAAGTAAGGATTTATCATCAAATACTAAGCCATCATGTAATTTCAATGTTTCCAAACTTTTGAAATGTTGGAATTAAAGAATCCAATTACCTTACTTACTCACTACAAATAATATTTCATAATAAATTATTTGATTTTGAATGAGATTGATTTCTTGAAATCATCTGATGGTAATAAATTGTAATAAGTCAAAAAAGTAATCTTTTAATACTGCAATTTAATTGGTTAAGTTAGACTATAAATAAATTTATAAATAATATTTTTAATATTTTTATAAATATACAAGAAAATTATAACCATTTTGAATATGCGAATTCTTATTTATAAAAATATTAAATCTACAACTATTAACCACGTTAATTCATATGGTTCTGGGTCACTTTACCGACACCCACTTTACCAACAAGGACACTTTGCCGACAGGACACTTGCCGACAAAGACACTTTACCGACAGGACACTTCATCGACTTTTCAACGCTTTTTATAAGCATGAACATTAAAAAACTATAAGAATCAATTAAAATAATTTCGCCCAATTTTTCAGTTAATAGTTTGGGCTTATTTAAACATATTTTTGTGCTTTAATTACAAAGTATACTTTAAAGTATCCTGTCAGCGAAGTGTCCTATCGGTAAAGTGCCCTTGTCAGTAAAGTGTCTTGTCGATAAAGTATTGTCGGTAAAGTGCCCTGTCGGTGAAGTGGATGTCGGTAAAGTGTCGTGGACCAATTCATATTATACCTAAAATTAAGAACAAGAAGCCTTATGGCAGTAGAATAATCTAAAGAGTAAATTTTACTATAATATTTTCATATTCAAACTCCTTAAATAAGAAAGGACACAAACAATCATAAATTTAGCAATTTATTTTATTGAAACAATTAAATTGGTGTTGCTAGCCGACTAGTTGTAGCCACGGCTGGAAATTAGCCACAACTATATTTCAACCGTGAACCATTATAGCCTCAATATTACTGTAATTAGATATATAGTCATGACTTAATTTAAATAACGGATTTTTCATCAATATCAAAAATCGATATTTTAAAATATAATATAATATAAAGAAAATGATAATATATTTTTATTAAGACAAAAAGACATGTTTTGTATTAGTTTTTTTAAAGTTTAATGGCTGTTAAAAATTTAAGCAGTTTACATTTCGCGGCTAAATTCTAGTCGATTATAGTTCTCCAGCCAACCTGCAACACCAAATTAAATAAAATGGAATTCTCCGTAAGGTTGAATAATGACATTGTGCCACCCACAACCTATAACCTTTTTCAATATATTTAGATATATTCCTGCAAAAGAATTTAAAAATAATTTTTTAAAAATTTTAACCAATTAAATCAATCGTTTAACAGAGGCATCCAATTATACAAAGAAAATTTTAAAATATTTTCCTCCAGGCACATTTCCTTAAATGGAAAGACCTTAAAATTAATATAATTAATGTTAAAATCACATGATGTATTGTTACATGAGCCTTCATAATTAATTGGTTATCTTCTTGATCATGCATAAATATTAGAATAAAAAAAATAAAAAAACCTTTTTTAAAAAATTTTCCTTTCTATATATATATATATAAATTATTTGTAATTAATTTTGTGCGACATTCGACTTTCTATGATCAACGACAAGCTGACCAATTGCTTATTAATATCCACCAATTATAATTATTTCCCATAATTTATCGTTTCGGAAATTTTTATCATTTGATGCTATTTTCCATATTTGTCTTTGTGTACATAACATAATAAAATCGACTGTCCACTAAAAGCGAATAGATATTGTAACACTACTTAGTCATCACCACTTCAAACACGTGTCACAAGATTTTTGTAATTTATTAAAATTTTAAAATATAATATATAAATTATATTGCAACAAATATCTTCTTAAGGTATAAGATAAGCCATTCTGTGATGAATTCACTCGTACTCAAGGGCTCATGAATTGATGTGCTCAAATCAACGGTATGGCTGTTTAAAAGGCTAACTCTTGCTTGGGGCATGGTTACAATTTGATTCAACTAAACTAACGCCTAGTGATTTGAAAAAGATGTGATTTCATGAAGATGTGATTTCATCTTTTTATGAATGAAGACGTGATTTCATTTTCTATGAATGAAGATGTAGTTTCATTTTCTATGAATGAAGATGTAATTTCTTCGTCTTCTAAAAAACCTCCCTAGACTTTATCCCAATTCAGAGGATAAATAATAAATATTAAAGTGGTTAGCAGTTAACATCGATATAAAAATTAAAATTAAAATAATAATAATTACTTGTGTGAAGATTATAATAATGACCCTGCCTGATCTCAAATGGATTCTTGATATCCCTTATGATATCAGAAATACAGCAATGAATATTTATAGTGGCAAAAAAAATATAGATCTAAAAAAAAAAAACAAATTACAGTTAATTGTCATTAGATCAAGAGATTGCGGGTGATTATTCAATTCCTAAAGATATTAAATCAAGTGAGAAAATACCTGAATTAAAAATAAATCATCTTGGCGAATTCAACTTGTATATCCCTATGTCACTTGATATTAAGGCTAATAACCAAGATCCTAAATTTTCCGTGGTTGAAAGAATAGATCCAGGAGTGAGAAATTTCGCGACTGGATATAACCCAGGTGGGTGAGGGGTCATAAGTAGAATACGTCACTTATGATAAAATCCAAAGTGAAATGAATTCTACTCGTGGTAAAGCAAATAAGCATAAAAGATATATATATATATATGCTCGATCGATGCATGCTCCAAATTCACAAGGAAATTCATAATATTGTGAATTGGCAAAATGGTTATGTTGAAAACCAACATTTTGTTTTAATTCGCGAGTTAAAATACAGGCAGAACATGATCAATAGGAAAACCTACTGTGAAACTGCAGGTCCGTCACATTATTTACTTCATAAATAATATCTTTGGTCGTTTGCATGGATATTGCGGACTCGTCAAACAACAAAACTTGAAGGGTGAAAGACTTTTTTTTTAGATGTACATTTTGCAAATCCACCATTGATAGATAGGGATGTATATAATTGAGCTCATAATATATTTTCAAAGTAGATTACGAAAACAAGCAAGAGTAATTTGGGTACGTTTAGGATTACACACTCGAGACACCTTATTGTCAAATATAAGTGGTTAAATTTATTAATTTTAAAAATTTTAAAGGAATTAATCTTGTGTATCAAAAAAGTGTGATACAAAATTACCTTAAAAATCACCCCCACTTTGTTTTCATCGCACAGATTGTCCACTAAGATTCTAGTGATATAAAAAAGTATATTATAAATAACCAAACCAACCATCATCATCAATTTAATTTTCATTTATTTTTGTTTTTTTTTTTTTTTTTTGACACCCTCCATTTCAATCCAACCACTCATTCTTCATTTTTACTATTCATTTTTTTATTGGATTAGAAAAAATAAATATTAACTTACAGGTAAAATTTAAATCTAAATTAAACTAAATTAATTTAGAGTTATTATTCATTAACTTCTCTCAATTTATAAACATAATGTCACTAACTACTCTTCAAACTTATAATTTTCACAGTAATCGATATTGTTATTACACTTAGAAATATTTATATAAACAATAGAAGAAATAATAATAATATAATAGTAAAATCAACACATAAAAAGAAACGAAAGATAGATAGATAATAGATGAAAAATATGGACATTAAATTATCGCCACTACAAAAATCTAAAGAAAATAATGAAGAACAAAGATTATCATCGATCGAAACACGAGTTATTAATGGTCATCAACATCAACAACAACAAGAATCTGATAGACAAGAACAACAGCAGCAAACAGAGCAACAACAGCATCCACAATATGATAATATTTCTTATACTAACCTCGCTCATCCAAATGCACCTGTTGTAGTAAATACGGTATTATTTATTTAAAAAAAAAATTACTATTATTTATTATTATTTATTACTATTATTGTTATTATTATTTTGAAGTAATATACTGTGGCTTACACAATATTATTTTGATTATAACTATTATTATTAGGGACTTCAAAATGATCCAACGAAAACTAATCAAAATCCAAATGCCTTCAATACAGCAGTTGCTTATGCTCATGCTCAACCCTATGGCTTGGTAAATATTGCGAGAATAATGAAAACAGTTTCTTTTCTTATATTCAAATAAATATTTATTTGATATTTATTTGTTTACTTATTTAATTATTTTTAGCTTATGAGCCCTGGTCCTCCTTCACCATTTACAGTTATTGGCACTTCAAATACTCAAACTGCACCTCAGTCATCATCCACAGGAATTGAAGAACAAGAAGAACCGTTATATGTTAATGCTAAACAAGTAATATGATTTGATTAGATTTAATTAAAATTTTTTTAAAAAAATTTTTTACTGATGATGATAATAATAATAGTACCATAGAATTTTAAAACGAAGAGCAGCCAGAGCTAAATTAGAGTCTGAAAATAAAATAAATAGAGGTCGAAAGGTTGGTTAAATGATTATTATATCATCATCATCATCATCATCATCATCATTCATTAACTTTTATTATTACTTTTATAAAATATTAAATTATTAGAAATATCTTCACGAGTCTCGTCATAAGCATGCAATGAGGCGTCCACGTGGACCTGGCGGGAGATTTCTCACAGCATCAGAAATTGCAGAATTAGAAAGAAAAAAGAAACCAGAGGATGTTGCTCAAGAACTACAATTGGGAGATCAGCAACAACATCATCGTCAAGATGATCAATATCATGAAACATCTAACAATAACAGATCGGAAAAAATGAATATCAATAATAATAATAATAATATGATGTTAATTGAAAATGGTGTAAAGCAAGAAATGACATAATAACAGACTTTTATTATTATTACCTTTCAGTTTTTTTTTCTTTTCTTTAAAAAAATATCATTTTCATTGCATACATAGACTTTTTTTTTAATTTGATTGTTAAATGGTGAGGTGTGTTGCCTTGTCTTTTTAATTGATAAATTTTTTTAGATTATTTATTTGAAATAAAAACCGATTCTTTAAAATAATATTAATATATTATTAATATTTAATATTATGGGGGGGGGGGGGGGGGGGTTTCTGAATTAATTTTTTTTTAAATGCCAATAATATTAATAATAATACAAAAAAAAAACAGTTGCAGCTATTTGATTGATTAAAATAAATAAATATTATTTATTATCTATAAATCACACACATTACTATAAATTTAACGTCCTACTACATTTTAATTTTAATAAATTAAAGCTTCTTGTTGTGGACAAGGTGAACGATCACCACCACCACCATCCCTTCCTCACAAGGACGCTCAGTTAAAGGATTAACGCAACAGGTGATACAGCTACTTCTACTCCAAGTAAACTCGAAATTCAAAATTTAATCTATTCGAACTTTATATTAAAAAAGTTTTTTACTTTTGTGTCAGGATCAATTTCTATTGGATCGATATCTAAAGCAGAAGCCTCCGGGACTTAATTACCTTCCTTTTACGTTCCTCTTCTTGTAATTTTATTACGAAGCCTCTTAGATATAGATATAGATATAGATATAGGCATAAATAAAATTCGTGTTAAAGAATAGATTTTTTCGCTTAATTGTAACAAAGGAAAACTTACGCAATAATCGTCAACTTCATGACATATCTAATTATAATTTAAAGGAATATGAATATATCAATTAATGTAATCACCCCCAATTAATTAAAAATTTTAAATTTTTTTTTTTTACTTTGAAATTATAGGATAAATATTATCTTTTTCTTTTTTCTTTTTTCTTTTTTAATTTTCCAAAAAAAATTAATCAACCCAAATCAGGTGACATCCGTATAACATAATAATAATAATAATAAGTGTAAAGTACATAATGTACACACACGCATAAGTTTTAGAAACAATTGTAGTGGAAGATGGTGTTTATGTCACACTGGCAAACAAAAATCCTGATTCTCAAACAACAAAAAACCCTAACATTTGTGAAAAGATACTAGCTGATGACGACGCTGATTTCATTAAATGATGTAGCGGTAAATTCGATCGTAAACCATTGATAATAATATTTAGTTAAATCAATTTTTTGTATGCTTATTGGCATCAGAAAAACTATTCTAACGTATATCATATACAATAATAAGAGTAATGTATTAAAAAATATACCTACCTACTACTACAATTATATTAATTATATTACAATTATATCAAACCTTATCGGGTACCGATCGAATATTCTGTTGCATAATGTAACCACAAATCTCTGATATTTTGTTAATTATTCCTTTTTTTAGGAATAAATGATTTACATTCAAAACAAACGGCGCCGATAAAAATATTAAAGGTTTTTAAAGGTTCTAGATTCAAAATATTTTACAAGTTAGTGTAACTTCATCTGAAGATAATCTGAACTTAAATTTACCAATTTATAATTTGTACAAACTTTATTTTTATTAGAAGAATCAAACAGTATAAATATGATCATGATGAGAGCAAGATCGGGTCGACTCACTAGGGCCAAAGTCTCTTTATTTTCTTATAAAACAATAAAAACAACAAATTCTAATCAATTTGTATGAAAATTGTTGTTCATATTAATTATTTAACGAAAAAATAAATTTATTTTATAAAAAACAAAAAAATTATGAATTCTTTTACTACCACTACAAGATTCTCTTCTCTTTTTATGACCGTTTTATTTTATTTCGTCATCTTCAATTCTTGTAATGAAGTTGATGCACATTTTCGCTTTGCGTTTCCTCCAACTAGAAGTTCTAATTTAACATTCACCGCTAATCCTCCTTGCGGTGGAGCTGACTTTAATAGTAGTTCACTCACTAATTTTCCAATTAGTAAGTTTTTTTTACCAAAATTTATTGTCATCATCATCATCATCATTATTGATAATTAATTAATCAAATATTTTTATTTTTCAGAGGGTGGCCAAGCCATAGTTTATATTGGACATGGGGAAGGAAACTTTATAATTAATTATTATGATACTCCAGTATCAGGTAGCATATCTATATCTATCTGACTATCTATATCTACACATATGTAACATACAATTATATTTATTATATTATAATTACAGAACTTCAGACTGTTAGCGTCGCAGAAGGTATAGGAGGTATGAATTATACAGCATCCATTGATTTTTCAAAAACAAATGCAACAGTCGGTAGCCAAGGCGTACTCCAAGCCATATTCAAATCATCAACCAACGCCTCAGTTATTTGGTATAATTGTGCTGATATCAATATTGTCGAGCAAGCGAAAACAAGTAGCGCCACTAAATCTATAATCCAATTCTTTGAACAGCATTCTCTTCTTCTTATATTCTCTTTTAGTGTCATATTTTCTTGGAGTTGGAATTATTAATTATGTGATATATTTTATACATGTCTCTTTTTACCAAACTGATATCAAATTTAAATTTATATATATAGTATTATTTATTACTTTATTTATCTTTCTATTTTATGAATATTTTATTATTTTTTTTTTGTAGTTTGGATCATTATGTTAAAAAATAAATTTTATGACTATTAATAATGAATTGAAAAAAAATCGCGTTTTTTTCCCACATAGCTATGAATAGACAATAATAGTTGGACTGTTTTTTCAAGAATATCAGTTAACCGAAACTTGTAATTGTACCGTTCTATCTATATTCTTTTAATCAAAATATAAAAATATAAATTCAATAAGGATTGTTTTTTTTTTCGGAGACTTGTTTTCATTGGCTCGGAGAATTATTTTTCCTTTTATTGCTTTTTAAATTATTGAGATATATATCAATAATAAGCTGGAGGACCTTCATCTACTCCACAATTAGACTATTTACCAAACACATGACACATATTACACTGTATTTTTTTTTTGGATTTTAAAGGTTGAAACTATCAACTTTTTGTAGTGATATAACTTCTAAAGGCTTAAGGTTAGCTTTTATCTTTTTAAATCAATATAATACATTTATTTGTTGAATAATAGTATACTATAATTAAGGATACCGGCCGCAACTTTTAATGAATGATTATGATACCTGGTTGCAACCGCTTTTGCAACCACTTTGTTTCCTTTTTTGTATTGCGACATGGAGCATTAATTATATACGAGTCTGTTCGTTCATATAAAGTTCTATAATATATATTATATATATTTCACTTAATTTTTCAACAAATGATACTAATAAATACATATGGAAATCTTTTTTACTAGTATTAATACAAAAATCAAAGGAAAGAGTTTAAAATTAAAGTCATAACGGTAATAACGAATCGAATTCACTTTTATGTCGGATTTTATTATACATATTTTTTTTTTGTGTTTCAAAAAAAAGGACGCGCACAAAAAATCACATATCTCAACAATTATGCAAGATAGATAAACAAAAAAAACCTTATCAAATACTTTATTAAACAAAAAAAAAAAATAAATAAGAAATTATATCACTGTTTTTTTCTAAAAGCAACTCACATTTCTGTTTCATAGACATAATAATATTTTTGATTGTTTCCTGAGGAATTCTTCGACCATAAATTTCTTCAATTCGTCAACATTTCTTGGCATCCTTTTTCAACGTTATTTTTATGATATACCGCATATTTTCAATGGGATTAAGATCAGGACTGTTGGATGACCAGTCTATTATGCAAATTCTTTTTTCAGAAATGAAAGTTTTTGTAACGCATGATGTGTGCTTTGTATCATTATCCTATTACAAACGCCATGTAATAAACATATTTACAATCGTTTGCTTTTATTAAAATTCAAACAAGATGCCCAATCGTTTTTTGTTATTATTATGTGAAAATTTTTTTTTCATTTTTAATTTACATTTTGGCGCCCTTTTTTGAAACACAACACACTGTATAAAAACAAAGGAATGCCCCCGCATCTAATCAAATTAGACCGCCTTTTTTCCCATGTGGCTGTTATAACATTTAATAGTTATAACCACACACTTCAATAAGAAAATTATAGTGAATCGTCACAAAGATATCTACGACACCAAATCTATTATTCCATTATCTTTTATACTAACATTTTTGTTAATATTGTTATTATTATTATGATTTCTAATATTATTATTATTATAATTATGATTTTACTTTTATTTCTTTTCATACTAATATATTTGTTAATACCAAACGTATTTCTGTATTTATAACCTCCTGACAATATGTTTTCCATATTTTTTTTTGGTTAAATCATTCATATTACCATGACATTACATAAGATTTTAAAGGTCTTTGGTATAATCCCTTTTATCAGATCAATAAATGTGAGTTGGTTTTCATCTTGATACATTCTCCAATATGTTTTTCCATAAACATATTTTCGGGAGCCAACTGGTACTGATTTTATTATATTAATTAATATACACTATGAATCATCGCATGCTACACTAATCAGCCTTATACTGATCTTGCTTTAATAGTAATAACATTTGTTTTAAAAGATTGAATTCTTTATAAAAATCATTAATAATTATTTTAAATGCAACACAAATAGAATTTTTAGGTTCTTGATCATTTTTACAAATTCACCATTTTTTTTCACAATATTGATACTTGTATAAAACCAAAGAATAAAAATTGTATACCATCTAAAATAATTTATTTAATTAATATTAAAAAACAAAATAATAATAATTATGTTGATTGGATT